AAAACTAAAAAATAAAGATTAAAAAATTCTCTCACTCTCTCTTAAAAAAAAAAAGTGTGAGGGAGCAGGATGTGGTGGCACATGCCTGTAATCCCAATGATTTGGGAGGCTGAGGCAAGGTTGCCAGTTTCAGGCCAGTCTCAGCAACATAGAAAGATCTTGACGACTACTTTGACCCTGTCTTGAAATAAAAAATAAGAAAGGGCTAAGGATGTGGCTCAGTGGTCAAGTGCCTCTGGGTTCAATCCCTGGTACCAAACAACAACAACAAACCAAAGGATAAGGAAAAAATTCTTTAATCCCTTTCTTTCTTCTAAGAATTACTTTTTCCTACTAGGTATAAGAAAGAGGATTGGGAATGGAGCTCAGTGGTATAGTGCTTGCCTAGCAAGTGCAAGGTCCTCTGTTCTATCCCCAGCTCTTCAAAAATAAAACTTCCAGGAAAAAATATCTGTAGGTTCAAGAAAGAAAAAGTCAACATTGATAAATATATTACTTGAGCTAAAAAGCACAGGAAAACAAGCTAGGCACTCATTACATTTCTAAGAAATATAGGTCAAAAGATGAAACATTTAGATAAGTACTAAGTACAGAGGACTGAAATGTGCTACCCCCCAGGAAGCCAAGGGACCCACTACATAACACACAGGATGAGTTTGCTGCCTTTCATAAGAGTAGACCTTGAGCTTTGCCCCCAGGGCATCTAGAATGCCCGTCACAGAACAGGTGCTTCTTTCTCCTCTTGTCCTCGGATGTGGTAGCTTTCATGGATTTCTGGCTGGTGGCACTGATCAGGGCCGAGAGGTAATCCAAGACCTCATCCCTTTCTTCTGGAAGAGAGATGGGGGAGAGAGATGGCAGCCGGGGTCCTCAGATTCCTGCAGCCCTGAGGGTCAGAGGAGAGAATGTTGGGTCTGGAAATAGGTCTGCAGGATGGTCATCATCTTCTGTAGGTCACCTCCTTCTCCTCTTTGGAGCTGCAGCTGCCATGGGATCCCAGGGCCACCACCTCCTTGGCCTTGAGCTCTTTCTCCCTCTGCAGGTGGCACTGTTTAATGTTGGCCCGAGTTTCTGTGGCCTGCTTCAACCTGTGTTCTTCAACTTGCTGGCCTTGAACACTTCTGCCACCTCCTTCTCGGCCTGCAGCAGCTGCTGAGTCCCCTGTGACCGACTAGTCACGGATGGGGCCACTTTTGTTCTTTTGGTTGTTTTTGTTGTTACTGGGGTTGAACCCAGGGACCCTTAACCACTGAGCCACATCCCAGCACTTTTTATTCATTTATTTTTTTGCAACAGAGTCGCACTAAGTTGCCAGGGCCTCAGTAAGCTGCTGAGGCTGGCCTGAAACTTGTGATCCTCCTGCCTCAGCCTTCAGAGTCTGTGGGATTATAGGAGACTCTGGCCGCCACGAGCAGCAACTTTTGTTTATAATTTATTTTATTGTTAATTTATTAATTTTTAATAATGGTTGTATTTAACAACCAGCTTGCAATATTCAGATTTCAGGAGTCAGCAAGAAGGCTAGGGTTGTGGCTCAGTGGTAGAGCGCTTGGTAGAGCGCTTGCCTAGCATGTGTGAGGCACTGGGTTCGAGTCCCAGCACCACATATAAATAAACAAATACATAAATAAGGTCCATCCACAACTAAAAAAATATTAAACAAACAAACAAAAGAAGTCAGAGCCACACCTGTCATC